TGGTTCACCAAATCATCCCTAAATGTGTGTTCAATGTCTTTAAAGGATAACCTAACTTGTGCTTTACAGCAACGTGTCATACTAAATTGAACCACCTAAAAAAAATTAAGAAAAAAAAGCAATTCTATTTCATCCATGAAAGTCATCTCCAGTCTCACCCTGCAAATAATCTCGTTGTTTCTCTTCATAATTCCATTTACACACACACGTCTGACTGATTGACTGATAAAATTGTCTGCGAAAGACCATTGAAATGTGCTTTCGAGCAAAAGTTGTTAGCATTTTAGGTAGGTTATAATAATTCAAGTGAGTGTCAGTTAATACAAGACACTGACATAGCATCAATATTTAAGGTGTATGCATAAGGCGGTAATAAAATAAACAATATACAGAGCAGTATCCACGGGGGTTAATTAGGTTATTGGACAGTAATGATAAGTTGCATATATGCATGGCATGGCTTAATCGTCAGTTTAAGGAACCAATGAACTAATGACCTTGACATCATGCATAATTAGAGACAGCGTTACAACGCAAGGGGAAAAACCTACAAGTACATCGACATGATCTGGAATGAGCAGCAGTATACGTTTGGAGAAAGCGAGCATAACATCTCGGTCGCATCTTAACTAAGTACCTGATGGCTACTTCTTCTTTCAAACTATAATCACAAATGACATAATAATAGCATAATAATGTACACAATATACATTTAAAAAAGCAGCAAATGTGATCATGTTCAAACGATGTATATATTATGAAAGTATATAATTTACTCTATATCAATGTATTAAATCATATGTTCTTGTTGCCAATGCTACGTGTAAAACAAATGTGTGGTTCGTAAATGGTTAATTCATATTTTTGCTTTATTATATTCTTGATTCATTTTTGATGGTATCACGATTGCGATGGAACTCAAATTATATTTGTATACATAGTAGCTGATCTCTTATTTTTAAAAGCCAGTTCGAATGGCTGTGGTTTCGCCAGATAACATCAAAAAGATGTTCAGCTGAACACTGACGTAGTCTATACTAAAGGATATTAAGAAAGTTTTCCCTAGTTGCAGCACGTCTAGTAAGCTTTTTATGTTCGTGTCCTTGTGGCTCTCAACTAACTGGAAATTTCATACGGGAATAACGACATTGTTTATGAACAGGCAAATTAAAACTTGTATCTAGTAAGACCGAGTTTTATTTTAAAGATTACCACTGTGTCGTATTCCTCGTATAGGACTACCTCAGTGTCGTAGCTTGACTCAAAGATGGGAATATCTCATAAATTCACTGTTAAGATTAGCTGTTGTGGCACAAAAAATTATAACAGTCAGACCATGAAACTTTATTACAAATTTTGAAAATATGCAAACGCTTTTACTCAGTGAAATATTAAGATTCCTACTACAACTATTTGTTTCCTTGTTTCAGAGAAAAGCCACACTGGGTTATTTACTGTGTCCACCGCGGGGAATCGAACCCCAAATTTGAGCGTTGTAGGTCCATAGACTTAACGCTGTCCCACCGAGGGACTCAGTACTATATCAATTAAATAGTAAAAATGATTATATTGTTCTTGTGAGACAAATAAAAACATTATGCATTTTTATGGAACATGAGTACACTTATTCAAGATGCCCTACCATATGAACTACTTTAAGATCTACTGAACTTGAGTATACTTATTCAAGATGCCCTACCATATGAACTACTTTAAGACATACTGAACTTGAGTATACTTATTCAAGTTGCCCTACCATATGAACTACTTTAAGACATACTGAACTTGAGTATACTTATTCAAGATGCCCTACCACATGAACTACTTTAAGATATACTGAACTTGAGTATACTTATTCAAGATGCCCTACCATATGAACTACTTTAATATCTACTGAACTTGAGTATACTTATTCAAGATGCCCTACCATATGAACTACTTTAATATCTACTGAACTTGAGTATACTTATTCAAGATGCCCTACCACATGAACTACTTTAAGATATACTGAACTTGAGTATACTTATTCAAGATGCCCTACCATATGAACTACTTTAAGATATACTGAACTTGAGTATACTTATTCAAGATGCCCTACCATATGAACTACTTTAAGATATACTGAACTTGAGTATACTTATTCAAGATGCCCTACCATATGAACTACTTTAAGATCTACTGAACTTGAGTATACTTTGATAAGAAAAAATAAAAAATAACTGCTGACCAATAACAAAATAAGTAAACAAATTAATCAAAATTTTCAGTGCATAAAATTTAGCTTTGAGAATTGATTGTCATAACAGGTTAGAGATTTGATTTTTAAATAAGTAGATATAAAATATCATTTCAATTTCATCAAAAGGAATTGGAATTTTCGTCCTGCGTATCTACACGGCCAGGTTAAGAACCTCTAGGTTTCAAGTATACTTGTCTCTTATTTAGAACTACTGAACAGAAGGAGTGCAGCCAGCTAGTAGCACCCACTGCAACATCTTTTTTCTAGGTCTTTAAAATAAATATGTGGTTTAACTTCTAATTTTATAACGCCCTCATAGCTGAAAATATGGAGCATATTCCGCCACATCACGTCTCGAATCCTGGATCCTTTGATTCACAGTCGGACACACATACCACTATTCCACCCCTGGACTTTATCAAACAGAACAAACCAAAAAACAAAACCGTAAGCTTTGTTCAGATTTTTAGAATATAACCTGAAAGTTCCTATCAGGGGCTAAATGTATCATATAATTTCCTAAGTACATGCATTAAATAAGACTCATTATACATTTTCTTTATTTATATTTTTAAACTCACTTAATGAAAGAAACAAGATGGCGAACAAACAAATGCAGCCTAAATGATATTATAACTAAAAAAAAATGGTTAAAATAATTATATGAAAATAAAATGTGGTCAACATTATGGCGAAACGATCATAATAGGTTACATTTGGTTTAAAACAAAAACACTAAAAATAGTATTACATGTACATGTGTGTTTCCTGTTCTTTTTAATTGTTGTGGGGGTGATAACGACCCACGTACCTTCTCATATTGAAAGTACAACCCTTATAGAATGCGCGAGCAGTGCTTGCGGGAACACACCCTTTACAGTCATGAATTTCCATGGAGCATTGGGTGGAGAGAGGCCATTGTTACATAGCATATAAGTAACAGTAACCTTCCACTTTACTTTACTTGGCTAGCAACAAGGCTATGATAATATATAAAAACTATCTATACGGATTTTCGATCTAATTTGAATATACCGAACTTATTATCTTTTAACCGTTAACCTTTAAGAGGGGTAATGCTTTTGAACGTCCTGAAGTACGCACGAGAAGAAAAAAAATAAGATGAGATTTTCTGACGCGAACGATGTTTTCTTTTGTATACAGCGATTAAGCGAAGAAGTAGAAACTGATAAAGGATTCCAAATTACTCTAAAGCTGTACATTAGTAGATAAATCGATGATCTTAAACTAATCTGTTTATAACCTGAAGTGATTTATAGCATTTGCAGTTATATAGGTTTATGAAATATATATATATGTGTGTGTAAAAGATAACGTGTATTACATGCTGGTTAATGGATTTAAGTAAGTTACACGTAACGAATATTTTGTGCTCTTATTTCATTACGGTTTATTAATGCCAGGATTAATTTGTGCTTCAATTTCAGGCAGAAAATCCTGTTTGGTTTCTGATTTTTAGCTTTTATTTTGAACCATATATACTTTCTGTAAAGTGTAGATTGTAGTGAAACACTCCTAAGAATTAAAATTACAGGTTTACTGCGCTATGCCAAAACTCCATGACGACCTTACTCTCATTAAACTAGAGATTACAACGGAAGTGGGGAGCGAGGTATGAGAAGAACGGATTAAGCAAGCCTGTGAATAGTTACTCGGGCTTAATTGGCCGACTAGCAACTACATCCAAAGAGAATATTATCTCTGTGTTAGAACCACGTGACCATTATGTCCATGAAGTCTGATGAACATCTATTAAGTACGAAATTGGCAGCTTTCTTGTCGTCTCCTTTCCAAATTAGTTATGGTAAAACGTAGGCATTAGCCCACGTGGTTAGAGTACTGGGCACGAAGGGTTCTACTTGCAGAAGTAGAAAAAAAAACCCAATAACAACAACATTTGTTCTGTAGCAGTTAAACAAATAGAAAAATTTATTTTCGCACAAAATTGTTTAATTATGTGGTTTCTCAAATAAAGTTAAATACCAGAAATAAATATAAGAAACTATGCTTAGCGAAAACCACTGAATCGTGAAATAGAGACGTATATAAGAGATTACTTACATTGCGTAATAAATGAAATACACACAGAGACATAAATAAATAAATATATTTAAGAATATTAAAGAATTATATAAATTTCAACAACTAAAGAGGAAACTTCCATTTTAAAGTAACTTTCCAGACAACAGAGGCCAAAAAACAAATATTTCATGCATAAAACATAAACGAGTAAAACTTGGGTATAAGTTGATGTGGGAATCGTAGTAAGAGAATCATTTCTAGAGTAAAATCCCCACAGTGGTAAAGATAAGTCCTTTGCCTGATTTTGCCTTTAGTTGCAAGCCTCACATATAAGATAATAACTTAAAAACCACGAACAGCAGGTTTGGTAGCTCAATCTTCCAATGTTTTACATCTAAAAGTACCTTCCCCTCTTACAGTTACTTGTGGGAAGGTAGTGGTGTATAATGAGAGAAAAATAACGAAGAAAAACAAAATAAATCACACCTTTCAGCTCCAAAATAGTCAATGTTTAGGTCAATAATACAATATTTCATACCTCTATTCTAATCAATATTCTGTTAATGTGGTCACTCATTTGCATGAAATATCTTCGTATGCTATCTAACACGCATGTGCTACTTACCAAAGATAACCTTGATATGTGTGCTATTTAGTTGAAGATTGGATAATTGAGCATATAAATGTGTGTGTGTAGAGCGAGAGGGAGACATTGTAGGCTAGATCTTGTCACAGACAAGTAGACTGATTCTACATATGCGTATATTTATGTACATATATATAACTAACGATTTGTGTTGTGTTGAATGCTAGTTATAGATTAAGTCCAAGCACTTTGGTACGAAATCAACCAACTGTGAAAATAGATTAAAATCGTTTGTTCTTGCAAACAAGCACGCATGTACAGAAACATATGAAGTTAGATTCGGCTTGTGACGCTCAGAATATAGGCTACTACTACACATGATGGAAGGCTGAGTTCAGCATTTGTATGGTTTCAGTATAGGTGTACTAAGTTTTGACCAAAGTCTACTGGAGCATTTTAGTACAAGTCCATAAATGTTGCTGACGTACATACAAGTTATCATAAAATGGATTCAAGCTCTTTTCGAAAGTTTCCAGTTGCTTGTACAAGCCACAAGAGAAGAAGCGAAACGAGTAGTATTCCACTGAGTGCATACAAACTACTTAGACGAGCTTGTTATTTGTAGCAGACTACTACTGTGTGAAACCAGACGAGCAGGTTTGTTTTTAAGCTTTGGAGGGATTTATGTGGAAATAAATAGACATGGGTCTGGGAATTGTTCAAGTCTTCCTTGCAACTTTCTCAGCATTAGTCCAATTCATGTTAGTTTATAGTAAGTAGTAAGAAGAAACACACAGGAAGTTGAATGGAGGCATAAAACTTGTTACATAGAGCATACGAGGTTGAAGCTACTTGCTAGTCTGCTAATGGCCTGACTGATAACAAACTACTCTATCATATATCTAATGATGATGTGATATTATAGCTCAAGATGGAAAAGAAAACTAATAAGGACACGATATTTCGACGTGTTTCTAAGCTTTTAGGTTGGAAAAGGTGAGTGAAATAAGATAATCACGACTGAGTCTATGGTCTAGAAAATAATTGCCTATATTTTACTGTATGAAATATTAACAGTTTACGTTTCATATAAACTCTGGCAGAAATCTATAGAGGCTATTTTTTCTCGATATACATCTACTTATGGATTTTTATGTTGTTTTCAATCAACAAAAGAGCTGATTTGACGTTTGTTATATTAGATTTATGTTTTTATCCTTTTGAAGTTTTATTCATTGGTATCAGATACAAAGACAGACACTTGCTTGTAATTATAGACAAGAAGTGGTAATATTATATATTTAATGTTGGAAAGATTTGTATTACTGAGTTATGGATTGCTTTTAGTTGTTTTGCTTACCATCGGTTAAAGAAGACACTAGTACTTACTATGTACAGGTCCAGTGAACCAGAAAATTGTCCATTTTATTAACTTTACACATCTTACAGAAGCTCTAATTGTGCCTAATTTAATAGAAGCACACAATTTGGCTTTGCTTAGTATAATATTATAGTTGTATTACAATCGCGATGACATTTATGCTTCATCACTTTACTTAAAAAGTCTTTTGATAGAAAAATCTATCATTTTTTGCATGCTGATTAACTGTGATAATTTTCCCGAGAAGTTTTAAAAAACTTTTTATGCTGAACGTATTTCTAGACAAATTTCAGAGAGATTCACCAAACCATCAGGAGAACATAGGAAACAGCTTAAATTGTTGACTTGTATTGTAATTTTTACCAAGCAATTTCAAGCGTAATATATATATATATATAGCCTACAAAAATGTAAGCATATAACAAAGGGCATATACAGTATTGCTTTGAATAGTCGATGTGAAGTGTAAAATATAGAGGAATGAGTGTTTTGTATTAGAACGGTTTTGAATGGTCAAATCAACAAGTCACGTAGTAAGTACAACTGATATAAAGCTGCGGTGGAACAAAATGTATTAAAACTGCATTTTTACATTATTTAGAGTTACGTGGGTAGTGTGATGCTATCGAAAACCAATCGCTTTGAGGAAGGGTATGTATCAACCCTTTCCGACGCAAATATCTATACACTCAGATCATAATTATGGCTTCAGATCAGGGATTTAGAGATTCTATGATGGAGATATCCTTTGTATTTAACGGCACTGGAAAACAAAACAATATGAATCAACTTGGGGACCCAGACTCATTCAGTAGAGATGTGTAACAAGTCGAACCATGTAATCAAAGTGCGGCGTCTTGTAACAGATGAACACAAAAGTAAGTGGCAAAAGTCGTCCACGTGTCCCAGGTAACAGTGCTGTATATAATCAAAAAGGATCTCTCTATGGAAACGAAGCCAACAGTTTATGTGTTCATCAAGATTGGGCTTCTAGTCATACCTCCCGTTTGTCGCATACCTCAAGCAGATAGATAATGAAACAGGTATTCATATTATTCCATACAAAGATATACCGGTTAAGTTCTGTGGTATCGGACTGTTGATATGGGCGCTGGGAAACCGTCGTCGTACACTAGATGGATTATGGAAAGCAACATGGAAGTAGTAATAAGAATCACAACAAAGCCTTTTGCAATGAAAAGCTATGCTGTAGGGCTATTGTCAAGATGCACGGTCATCAGATAGAGTATAAATGAACGTGGAGACATGTAACTTAACGGCGTGGTGAGGCTCCAGAATCATTTTGATATAGCCTACCCAACCATCTATGCGATTATTTTGTGAAATATTTTGAATTTTATATTCAAAATCAAGTCAATGGAGAAAGTAAATTAGTATATGCTTTTTAAGTACACTAAATATAATGATTTGCTGCTGATGTTGATCAAGTGACAGTTAAAATAAAGCACTTCTTCGAAAGGAAATACTCATGTTTAGCAGGTGAATGCATTACACGTTTTTTACTTAAAATGCATGCTATTTTTTAATTCATAAATTGCAATGGAGTTCTTTTTGGCAAGCATTACCTATAAATTTCATTTTGCTTCATGAAAGAACTGCAGCGCAAAACTATTGGCTATTATAACCATTATATATATATACTTTTAAGAAGTTGTAACCTTGTCCTTAATAATAAAAAACTATACTCAGTTCTTATAATATGAACTTTTTCTTCAGATCAGGTAATGGAAATTATCGTACCTGAAGCCACGTGATTGTAATATATATATATATATATATACACATATTTGATATAATACCCATAGATCGATTGAGTTATTTTTAATAATTTTCCAGTTTTCTTCTTAAAGGGATTTGCATTTATTCATCTTCTGATAAACATAAGGGTTTTTTTCCCAAGAAGTAAAGTTACTAACTTCTGCTTAGAATTAACGTTTCTTTTCCTCGGACTGTTTTTACTTAAATATTCTTTTTTTTTTCTTCTCTAACATGAATGTTTCCTTTCCAGTGAATGTTTTTGCCTAATTACCCTTTACCTGACAGAAACATTATATAATTAGTGCTTTTGTTTAATTGTTCTCTGTTCTCTATGTTCCTTTCTAACTTAGTGGATTACTCGTGCTTAAATGTCCACTGGTTAACATAGACGTTTCGAATATTTTATGCCAATTAAGTATGTGTGTGTGTATATATATAAGGTCAAGCGTACAAAGTAAAATACACTGCTATACCAACAATGTGTTCCATACCAAAACAATTAATTTGTTTCAACTATTGTTTATATTTGGAATTGTTCAATATCTTCGGTGGGAATTTGCTCATTACGGTTTATATCCTTGATATTTATAATTTGTGTGCGTTGACAAAATCAAACGTATGGGATGTAGCAAAACTTTCTTCGATAAATGTACAACAAAGTACTGATTTTTCATTGTGCACTCATCATTCCTGGTCCATTTATATTTCTTCTGCAACTTTCTTTGGATGACATGAGTTAAGAATAACGTGGGTACTTAATTCAGTTGAAAGTAGTCTCCGGCGGAAAGTCATCACAACAGCCATTTTTATACGATTGCAAAAACCTTTGCCCACTCAAATAGTTACTTTTAGGCTAGAAATACAAGGATAAAAACTTTTAAATCGTTTTCGCTATTTGACGAAAATAATGAAGAATATAAGTAATATAATGTGTTAATTAACAAAAATAATTATTGGTGTGGTTTAAGGTGCTTAGTATGGCGAAGCAAGAAAGGTTATTAAGCCTAACAGCATTGAATTTATTTTAAGGCACAGAAATACCATTTCACTAAAACTTTCCACTGCAGTAGTTCTAGCTCAACTGAATAGATCTGGTATTGAGAGAGAAGTTTTCGAAACAGTGACTTGTGGATTACAAAGGATAGATTTGATACGTTATTTTGACACAGCTTTGATTTGAAATTCATGATAGTCTGTTAAGAGGAATGGGATAAAAAACTTTTGCAGTCAAATGCGAGTTCTGATAACTTTTGTTAAGTCTAACAAATTTCATTGATTTGCCAGATTAGACGTTTTACACTAGATCTTTGTGTTTCTTTTACTGTAAATAAATACTCCAGGTAGGTTTCCGATTACTATTGATACGATTTACTTGATGAGCTTTGGTACGAAACGAAAAACGTTCTCGCTTGTGACTTATGGTAGACGAAACTTGATTATTAAATGCTAATTTCAACATATTTGGTGGGAAATCCGTATTTAACTATTTAAAAAGATAAGTATTGTTTACTGATATAGTCACTGTACTCCAGCGGTCCCCAACCATATTCCATACTGGGCTACTTCAGATGATGAACGTAAAGCCAAGGATCGATCCTGAGCTACATTCCTCAAATACAGTTTGTTTGTTTTCTACTTTTGCAAAAACTGATCATAGTATGGGACCACTGCTGTAGACATTAAAGAATTATGAATGTTAAAAATGTTTTTAATTGGTAAAGTCATCAAAGAAAGCAACAATTCAACTTACACAGTTCACTGTATTAACTCGTTGTTTGTTGGTTTTATTGGTTTGGTTAGAATTTCGCGCAAAGCTACACGAAGGATATTTGCGCTATATGTCCCTAACTTAGCAGTGAAAGACTAGAGGGAAGGCAGCTAGTCATCACCACCCACCGCCAACTATTCGGCTAATCTTTTATCAACGAATAGTTGGATTGACCGTTACATTATAACGCCCCCACGGCTGAAAGGGCGAGCATGTTTGGTGAGACGGGGGATTCTAACCCGCGACCCTAAGATTGCGAGTCAAGTGCCCTAACCACCTGGCCACGCCGGACCGTTGATTTTATAATTTCGCACAAAGCTACACAAGAGCTGTCCGTCATTTTGAATTGATAGGCTAGAAGGAAGGCATTCAGTCATCCAACTATTGGACTACTAATGAATGATGGAATGGTTGGATGTGATCGGCACTGTTATAGTGCTCCAATGGTTTCAAAGTACGGGGTGTGTTTTTGCGACAGTGGGTCATGAAACTTGAAAATTTAGATTCACAGTTTATAGTCGGGCACGCTAACTACTAGGCAACGCAGCCCGGCATAGCCAGGTGGTTAGAGAGCTCGACTCGAAATTTGCGGGTCAAGGGTTCGAATCCCTGTCCCACCAAACATGATCGCCCTTTCAGCCGTGGGGGCGTTATATGTGACGGTCAATCCCACTATTCGTTGGTAAAAGAGTAGCCCAAGAATTGGCGGTGGGTGGTGATGACTAGGTGCTTTCCCTCTAGTCTTACACTGCTAAATTATGGACGGCTAGCGCAGATAGCCCTCGTGTAGCTTTGCTCGAAATTCGAAACAAACATTGAAACAAGGCAATGCACAGCCTAACTTATAAAAAAAAGTACTCAAGGGTTATGTATTATTATATTAGTTGTTACATTGAGCAATAATATTTCCAGAAGATTAATAACCTTTAGTGTTCTGCACACTAATATATAAATATAAATGTTGAGTTTTTGAAACTTGGACATTTTTTCCCCCAAGAAATAAATGATGGATGAAAAATTTCTTTTTTTTTAGGCATCGTTCTCAAATTCAATATGTGTAAATGATAT